ACGAAGATGCCCTTGTCATGTTACCAATGAAAATATCCCAAAATTTGTCATAAGAGTCACATTTTTTTGCTTACTTGGCCAATGCTGCAGGTTCCCATGTGGAAGGAACTGCGTTTTTGACATGATCACGTAAAGCAATTTGGGATTTTTCAAGCTTGATATTGTAAAGTGTGATGAAGACGCCATCTAAAGCGAGGGATTTTGTATTTGCAGCATCTTTCTGCCATGATCCCGTGAATTCAAATGCAGCGTTCAGTTGGCCGGTCGGAATTCTGCCGGAAAGTGATACATCCTGGTTAAATTGCTCCGACATCTACAAGAACAAGAAAAAAGATACCTTTGATATATCAAAGATTCGAACCCATAACATAAAATCATTATAAGAAGGAAAGTTAAACTATCATCGAACAAAGCAGTGAATCAAGACGAAATTTTGTGGATATACCTTCTGAAAAGAGAGGGTATCTGAGCTGAATCGCATCCTTTCACCTTTATCACAATTAATCGATTTTGATACATTTTGAATCAAAATCCCACCTGGAATCAGTATATCCCTCACCTGTTCATCATCTATACCGATTAATCTCGATTCCGGCGACTTCCCTTTGCAGTATTTCAACCTCAAATCCTCAGTCAAGTCATACCCTAACCCAATTGATCCGATCGCCGTCTCCGCCGCTGTCTTCAGCCGTAACGCCACCTCCTTACTACTACTACCCATCAAAATTAGTTGTGTAAACCACAAATAAACCGCAAAATTAGGTGAATCCGTGGAATTTTTCCTTCGATTATGGTTTTCTTTCACCTGCTACGGTTTGAATCGGAAGTAGTCAACTCGTTTTCTTGGTGTTTTGTTGACTGCGAATTTAAATAATGTTTCAGGTGGAAGATGATGAAATGGGTCGTCAGATTTTACATCGTGGATGTATTTTATATGATTAATTGTCGCGTTAATTGTTGGTACAAAGCGCGGAATCATATGGGTTTGGAGAAAAAGTCAAAATAGAAATGCTGTAATTGGTTTTCAAGAGAAGTGCAAAAGGTCAAAGAAAGTTGGTTGTTTTTGAAGCCGCCCGTCGCCGGCGTAAAGACACTTTGTATTGGTGGTCGGAGATTCAATGCTATTCTTTTACTTTCCATTTTCCATAAAAAGGTTAATTCTTGGTTTCTATATTCATTTTGGTTCTTATATTTTAAACAAAATATTCACCAATTATAGACTTTGGAAACACAACACAATGATAAATATGCAAATGAGAATAAAGAATTAAAAGGTTAGATTTTGATTAAACTAATCAAACTACATCTCCCAGACAAACTATAGAGATATTTGAATTATACTTTTGAATGCATATTTTTTGTATTAGGGTTACAAATTAATGTCTTAAGTCATACCTTAGAAACGATGTGATTCGTCACGACTCGTAAAAGCTTGAAGTGGCTCGTCATGGCTCGTAAAAGCTTGAGGCTTGACATTGCTGCCAAGTGACGTCTAATGTTATTTAGAACATTGGTTACAAATATAGTGAGAGATCAATTGATAATAGACTTTTGAGCTAATTTCTTCTCGAATAGGCTCATGATATAACATACATAAGTTGACCAATGATGACCGACGTGGTCCCAAAGTTACTAGGCCATCATCGAAGTTTAAAGTCGAGGACTACTTCTGAAGGCTAAGCGTGATGTACACCAAAGGCGAAGCTCGAATGTACAATGAAGGCAAAGATGATGAGCTCGTTCTTCACAACTGCACTTTGGAGTTTAACTTTGCTGCCAAGTCTTTAGACCTTGCTTTTTAACTTACTTTGAAGCTTTACTTCCTGAATCTTGAATTCGTCCATTGTTTGCAGCTTCGCTCATAAACAAAAGTCAACAACTTCGCTAATTGGCTTCACCCCAAGGATTCCCTGTCAGGTTAAAACTTTGCACCATCAACTTTGCTAAGCCTTTGATTTTGAAATACAATTGCTCCAAAAAAATTCTTCATGGGGTGCTGCCCCCAACCCCATAATTGATCCCTACAAGGAATAGGACCCCACGCTTGGTCTCCGTATTTGACAGTGAAGTCAAAAGAAGAATTAAATTCCACAACTCAATAATAACCATATCAAGATTAAAAATGAAAATACTACACCCACATTTTTGGAAATTTTTGCAAATAACTATTATTTTCGGAAATACTAAATTTTCAAACTTAGCAATTAGTTTTTTCTGAAAAATGATTCAACAATTTTGAGGTTTCAAAAAGCCATTATTTTGGAATGTAACAATATACAATTTGTACATATCACAAATATATAGACATTGACTAATATTTTATTTTCTCCGAAAGGGTGTATATTTGTACGAAAAAATTGTTTTTTTTTTTTTTTTCTGTCAACCCAAACTTGTTTTGTGGGAATATATTTCTGAATACCATGGATAATAGAAGTTTAAAGATTAGCTTGCCAAATGAATTTGGTTATAATTTTTTTCTTGATCAATTCATTATTGTCTTTAACTTCTTGAAGAAGATCATCATTTCTTTGATTGCAATGTAGACATCCTTACAAAGCTTTTCGACATCTGTCTCTCGAGCTTTCACAACAATCTTCACCTCTTCGGACATCCTCTAGTACCTTTGGGATAGATTGGGGAATGAGCTTGAACCTCACCCCTATATTTATGTAGGATTTTTTAGTAGACATATTTTTGAGTAAGTTAAGATTTGGTGGTGGAAATGTAAGCTTTAACAAATTTATATAACGATGGGAAATAGTGATAAGTCTATGTTATATGGAGATTTAGGTTAGATATATAAACTAAGTTAAAATTATTTTGTCTTAAGTTAGACCATTTAACCCCTCCTAACTATTGCATTTTACTTATTGATTATGTAATGTTTACCTTTTTATATCTAAGTACCTTCATACATCAACAAACATACTACAAATTATACCATAAGTTCAATATTGCAACCAGGGAAGTCCATTCAAATCAAAGATTTTAACTATAAAGCCTAAAACCACACTAAATTGAACAAAGCCCTAGTTTTCAAAGATATGTATAATGTACTTCATAATTCCATGAAATTAATACAATGGGGGTAAAAAGTAATGGATGAATCATACCTGAAGTGAAGATTAAATAAGAAAAACAAAGATTTTTCGAAGTTGGGATAATGAGCTACTAATGACGTCGATGTGATGTGAGAAGTTGTAAAAAGTCAAAAAAGGGTTAAAGAAGATAAAATCCTTTTAAGCTCAAATACAGTTGTGTATAGTCATCAGGTTCATCGTGTTTGTGACAAAGGGTTCTTTAGCTCGAGATCTATTGTTGTATGTATCAAGTTTTTCTTCAAGGCGTGTCGTGTAATGTCTACAATTCTTCAAACTCAAAAACTTCACCAATTTTTATAATAAGAAATCCCACATCAATGACAACCTAAATACATCATATAGCTATGACCATCTTTTGAAGGGTGAAATGAAATCAAAATAACTCAAAAACCCATAAAATAAGAAGTACATAGGAATCATACATGGAGTGTAAATTAAACAAGAAAATGAATGTAACATCCCAAAATTTCAAGATAAAAATTTTGTTTTTAATTCAACCATAAAACACCATTTAGTAATACCAATCATTCAAAAGTATATTAATGTAAAAGCAATTATCATAGTACAATCCAAAAAATCATCACATTGCGGAAACTTGTGTAGAGGCAGTGTAGTCACTGTGACATCCCCAATTTCACAACTAGAAAAGACCAATTTGTTTATGCTTTATTTGAAAATCAGAGTACCTTTTTGAGAAAATGTTGTGGAATTTGTCCCCAAAAATATGATAAAGAATTTATCAAAGCATTTCTGAAGAAATGTATTTTACTTATATTAAAAACCTTTGGATGTCATTGTCAATACAAATCAAAAGCATAAACAGAAACAAAATATGACTTACAACATTCTATTTATTTCTAGCCTATAATCCATAATCTCTCATCAGATCATCGCATCTATGCTCTTGTGCCACTACTTGTAATACAAGAAACTGAGTGGGTCGGGCTTGAGAGCCTGGTGAGCACATAGGGTTTTCAACTTATAATAATTACGTTTATTAATTTCATCAAATCATTCAACCCGATTACCTATTCCCGTTATCCTCACTTTATGTCCCTAAAGAATCTAATTCAAGGGACTTAGCCTAAGGATAATCATCGGGAAGACAATATTGCTTAGGGGATTCCTCAGCAATATATGCCAGTAAGGCAACCATGAGGGGGATGGAGTACACCGGTGAACACATCGTTCACAAATACCTATAGGTTGCGAGCCTGACAATGTTCCACTAGACTGTCTAGAATAGTCCGTGGTTATCATCTATACTCCGATAAATGACTAAGTCAGCTTAAACATCGAGGCCTTTCATCATTTTATTTCGTTGTTCATCATCTATTTCATCTACCCATATTTCCCAACATATTCATAGATATAAAATACATATACATTTTAAATCAAATAAACCATGTATATTTTGTTCATCCAGCGTAAAAATCAAGAACACATATAATATGCACACATAGCACGTAATTTATATTAAACACTTCATATCTATGTGTAAGTTAGAAGTAACTATGCACTCACTTGTTAAAGTGATGATTCCAAACTTGGGTAGCGCTTCGCTTCTAATAATTCTATTTTTCTTCAATGAAACCTAGTATTATTACCACTAGATTTTAGTCTAATATTTATTGCTACTATCTACGAGCGATATTGTTTTATAAGTGTTAAACAATACTTTTCAACTACTATGTACAGACAGGGGACATACATGAAACACCGGAGGGAAGGACCATTTTGGCATTATAGCTGTTTTGAAATCCAACAACCCTATGCGGACCTTCAAACCAGATTCCACGTGTCACTCGCAGATTACCCCAAAAACTAATTATCTTCCAAAATCCGTAACTTTTGCATACGAGCTCTGTTTTTGATGTTATTTATATACACGTGCAGGTATTGACAAGATCTACAACTCTCCTTTTGACTGCATCAGCTAATTCTTGACCGATTTTAATTTTAAGAGTATGAGAAGATTACGCTGTTAACGACCGTGTAAAACTTCGACAGGTCATAACTTCTTCGTTATAAGTCGGATTTTAGTGTTCTTTATATCCCCAAAATCCTTGTTGTGACTACTTCAACTTTCTTCATAGATATTGGGTCTATCTATTATTTTATTGTTGATGCATATTTTTATTATTAATTTATTACATCGTTATAAGTACCTATTTTGCAAATAAATCACATAAATCACATAATACTCAAATAATTCTTCTTCATTACTTCAAAATAGGTTACAATTATAACATCCATAAAATTCATAAAAATTTAAAACTTTTTCAAGCATCCAAAAACTGTTATTTATTACAAAATCTTTTCAAAATAGTTTCAGAGAATCCCAGAAATTAAAGTCATAAAATGTGAAGAGGTGCACGATTAAGCCTTCGCCTTCCCGCGATCATCCGAAGTACCTGAAAAAAAATCCAAAACTGTAAGCCCGAAGCTTAGCGAGTTCCTCCAAAATACCAAAACTATACAACCAGAAGAATATCATAACAAACAACATGCATATAGAGTCTAGAGTATGACTGGACCACCCTCATCGGGCCTTCAATCTGTCTGGTCCGCCCTACCAGGCCTTCAGCCTGTCTGGACCGTTCTCCGGGCCTTCAACCTGATTGGTACGCCCCATTGGGCCTTCAGTCTATCCGGGCCGCCCTGGGTATGTTGGCCTAGAGCATAAAGCAGGATTGCCTCAACCCACCCCCAAACATACACTCAACACATAGATATCAAACTCTAGCTAGCATGTACAAACAGTTAGATAGAACTAACAGATCACTAATCATAGCATCATCCTATATACCAGGACACCAACCTAACAGGTCACTAACATAAGATCATCCTATATACCAGGATACAGATCTAACAGATCACTAAGCATATCATTATGCGATAAGCAGGATAACTTTCCAAAAAGAATCGGCATTGGTGCCTTCTACCCTGTTAGTATAGTGAGGAAAACTCACTTCACAAGTAGTCCTATAATGACAATCTATGCTATCAATAGCATGCTATAGCGGTGCTATAGCAACGCTATAGCGTTTTGCGGTATTGCTGAATCCTTATTTTGAAATATCATTTATGAATAGCGGTGACGCTATTATCGGTGCGATTGACCGCTATTTCCCGTGAATCTCATTAGCGCTATAGCAACGCTACACCCGCTTTTTCAATTTCATACACATTGGGCTACTTTTTACAAAGAAAAAATTGATTGTGGACTATTTCAATATTAAATCTGTATTTTTTTAATTTGTCCACTACACTTTTGTTTTAATAAGTCCAAATAATAAATCTAATTAATTACAAACTACAAAGTGATAAATGACAACTTCTCTTTCTCGTCTCTTTCTGTACTTAGAAACCACG